TATATATATATATATATATATACCCATGCCTGCGAGCCGGCGCATGCACACGCCCACATATGCGCGCGCTCACACACACACACACACACACACACGCAAACATGACCAATGAAAAGTTCATAAATTATTTAACTAAGTATAAAAGAAAAAAAAAATTTCTGATATCCTCGGAAAAGTTGACGGAGCGTCGTTCCCTAACTCTGGTCTCGGGATGCTAAAGGTAACATAAATCAGCTGACAAGTTTGATATTTGTATTAATCCTATATATATATATATATATATATATATATATATATATATATATATATATTCTCAACGGTTGAACCAGCGAATGAAGAAGGCTACATATGACGGACATGCTACAGAAGGCGCCACTCGAAATTATGAGTCAGCGTTTGACCTTTGCAGTTTCATAACTTGATTTTGTCTATTTTTTTTATATGAGGTATTGTATCTATTTACATTGTTCAGACAGCTGTCCTTATCTTTGTTGTCATATTCACGATGTTTCGGTTATTGTACGCTTCGGTCTCCTTCAGGTGATTAGAATTACGAAACGAACTCTTTGCTTTGTTCACTGGAGTAGATTGTTCTTGTTCCCCATGCCATGCCTCTTCCGGATATTTCAGTTTCAGTTATTTCCCTTTTAGCAACTCTAAACTCCAAGTTTTTGTTCGACTCTGCTGTGGTCAGGTATTAAACTCACAACTCTATGGGTCAAGTCACTAGATTACTTCAGTAACAAATAGAGTTAGAGAAAAAACAATAAAAACAGCAAACAGCAATATGAGCTCTGACAAAAACAAAATGATTATTGATACATTAGGTTTATAAGTCCCAAAATTCATACACATCGCCCAGTGGATAAAACTGTTGGTCTTAGTAATCCAGTTAGTTGATCTGCAGATTTGTGAGCTCAATACCTGAGAATAGCAGAAGTGAATAAAAACTTCTGTCGAGTTACTAAGGAAAATAACAGAAACTGAAACTGAGATATCCGGTAGAGGCATGGCACGTGGAACTAGAACAACCTACCACAGTTCAGTTCAAAATTTTAATGACCTGAAGTATGCATATAATGGCCGGAACATCGAGAATATGACGACAAAGATGACGACAACAATACGAACAATACATACATACATACACACATACATACATATATATATATATATATATATATTGAAGTTATTCAAGATTTCCGATTTCATTTGATATCTGGAAAACGACAAAAAAACACAAGGGTCCAAAATTTGTATGAAATATTAAGATGAATAAAAACGGCGGCCTTTCTGAAAACGAAAGGCATTTTTTTTACCGAAAGATTATTATTTTTATAATCTGAACAACTGGTTACCTGTATATTTTTTGTGGACACCGATACTTGGAAGAAGCATGCTTCATACTAAATCTCACCCAAGTCCTACAAACATCGTTATCGAGACAGTTTTTTTTAGAATTCATGAAACCTTCTTACAAAAACATGCGCAAGTTTTCTGACCAAGTCAATAGCGAACAGATTAATGCCTTCTACGTTCGTTTCGTTCATTTTTATTCTATGCGTGTCTAAATCTCTTAAATACTGGATTTATGAAACCATACTAAAAGAAATAACAAAAAATGATGCCTCCTAAAATCTTGCCTCAGATAAAAATAAGAACAGTATGAATAAAATAAACTTGCAAAAGGCATTGTGCGCATGCCCGTTACAATGTTCCTACTTCCTATCTCCACCATACTTAAACAATACGAAGTGTTGTGTGATCAAAGTTAGGGCATAAATAAGAATTTTACAATGTTTTTCTTTGGAATTAAAGTTTTTATTATTATGTTCGTGTTTCAAAAGATCACTTTTCTTTCTTGGAAGTAACAAATTATTTCTGATACACCTTGTTACGTGGAATACTCTTATTTTATATAATTAAAAATTTTCCCAAACGATAGTCGCCTGATTGATTTGTTTTTCTTTTTTTCTTTTTTTTTTTCTTTTGTTTTTATTACGTCTTATCAACCCTTCGTGGGTTATTTAAAGACTAAACCTTGTTCAGGAAGCCGATTACAGTACACGATATTTCCAAGCGGTCATCCCTCTTACTACAGGTCGGGTTCGACGCTGCTTAACTTCGCTGAACGATCGAGAACCGGAAACCAAATAATAGACATTGGAAACAAATTTTTGAGATGCACATAATTATTATTATTATTATTATTAAACAAATAGAATTTACTCTTCTTTATACTTGTATGCAATTTTTAAACATAATTTGAAGAAAGACATACTGTCGAAATATTGTTGAACATTGTCTTTTCTTTCCTTTTTCTTTTCTTAAATCGTGCTCTTCCCCAATAATAATAATAATGATAATAATAATTAGTAGTAGCAGTTGTAGTAGTAATAGTACTACTACTACTACTATTATTATTATCATTATTATTATTATTATTATTATTGTTTCCTTTGATTTCTGTTGTATACACATTTCCTTCCAGGTCCCAACCAGAGACCTAAGGTCAGAAATGTCTTCATGACATTTTTCACTGATAATTTTTGTAAAAAAAATAAAACTTTTAATCACACACATTTTACATAGATAAAGCTCTTCGTAATGTGGGAACTGTAATTGTGAGTACAAATTTGTATTTCTTTAAAGCATGAGCTACCAGGAATCCTTTCAATGAGTCTATCGGGATCTTTTCTAATCAACCGAGGGCTCCAACTACTATTGGAATTATTGATGTCCTCTTTGCCACATTTCTGATATTTGTACTTTAAGATCCTTGTATTTTGACAGATTCAATGATACATTACAATCTGTAGGGACTGCCATATCAATACGAAAGCACATTCTGTTCATATGGTCTTTGATCATGATGATGTCTGGACGATTAGCGTTAATTTTTCTGTCTGTGTGTATTATAAAGTCCCATAAAATTGTTACAGATCTCATCTCGATAACTAAATAAGTTTCTTGCAGTCTCTCTCTCGTAAAATTTACATATTTTCCAGTGCAGATATTGGCCCACTGTATCTTGCTGAATTTTATATTCAGTTGGTATTATTATTATATAAGAAAAGTGTACGAAAGCTTTCGACTTCTTTAAGTCATCATCAAGGTAGGTAGAAACAATTGGTGAGATTCGTAGAACGAGTGTGTTGTGATGTAATCGAGTTCTGATTCTTTTTATAAACATTTGAGGATGTGGGCTCTTAAGTTAGAATTGTTTTTATTTATTGGTGGTTGTTTTTGTGGTATTACAATTGCTTCAAGGAAGTTTTTACTCTTTGATTTTGTTAGTATTTGAGTGTGAGTAGCTGTCTAATGTTACGGCTTGTTAATGTATGATCTGATGGCATCGTGGTCCGTTGGAAAGGGGAATATTTTTGAAAAGAAGAAATCTTTAAAAAAAAAGTATGTTTCTGTACAGATAAGGTCCGATAACTCTGTAACAAGTCATTGATTGATGTTAACCTATATTGATATGATGAACTAGACCAGTGGTTCCCAAACTTTTTTTTCTCTCGGCCGCATTTTCGGAATTAAAATTTGCTCGAGCCTCTCCAAATTTTATGTGATAAAAAATACATTTAAAAATGAACGACTAATAGTGTGTTAAATATATTATATACTACAATAACTATGATTAAAGTACCCAATTTTAATGGAATGTATGAGCTTGTTTTTGACGGATTAAAGGGAGATAACCGCGGATTCGAATTCAGGGCATTATCAATGATAACTCTCTCCTCCGTTTTGCGGATCCTAATAACTTAATACTTGATATAATGCAAAATTATCACAATGATAAAATCGGTCAATAATTATTTATAATTATGTATACTGGGACTTCCACATACAGTTATAAGTAATCCATAATAATATTTTAAATTTTGAAATCAAATTTGTTTTTGACATATGAATTTTTAAAACTGTTTCTAAATCTTTGAGTGTCTTTCAATCATTCCGCCTCACCTGCTATCCTCTTCCACCGCACCTGTGAGACGCGCCGAGCCGTTTAGGAACCACAGAACTAGACTAAAAAAATGATAAATGAAATTCATTATTTATCGATTCTGACAGATGCCGTCACTTTTGGAAGGTCCGAAGATTACTATCCACAAAAAAGTATACACCATTAAAAAGTTTCCTTACTTTTTACAAACGGACCAACTTAAGTAGTGTCAAATAAAGAGTAAAGAACAAATCTATACTAATACCGCTATTACTGTATAGCATTCAATCCTTTCTACATGCTCCATTTTATAGCTTTGTACCAGACTAATCGAGTCTTGAGTTTTCTCCACATGATAATTGCTCTGATGATTTTTCCTCTGTTTTCCCACTACATTAATTTAAGCGTTCTACTAGACTGTCACCTAGGTCTCACCCATTTATTGTTGAAATAGCTAAATGCAACCACCGCTTCTACCCCAAGAGTTTCTTTTCTCGCACTTCCCACCTGTGGAACTCTCTTCTGTTTACTTGCTTCCTTGATAATTACAATCTTCAAAAATTTAAATATAACGTCGATCGTCATTTTCGGTCTACTTGAACCCCTTTTATCTTTTGCCCTTTCCTCCCTATTCCCAATCTCCTCTTTCACCTTCACTCCCTGTAACCCTCTACGTACTAGTGGCATTTTCGCCTTCTTGGGATGAAATGATTAAAATTATATATATATATATATATATATATATATATATATATATATATATAGAAAAAGTTGCAAATTAAAAAAAAATAATAATGTTTTTTTATGAAAGTATTTATTTATTTATATATATATTTGATATTTCAGATCGACCTCAATCTTTCTTCAGAAATAACTGTTTGTTACAAATAAATTAAAATTACTGTTTGTTTACAAGTAGCGTCCGTCGCGAGACGCGGACGTCACGTGATATGGAACGCCACTGTGTTCGAATATTCGTAATGTAAATCTAACTGTAATAATATTTTACATGTTGTTTAAAAAAATAAAAAATAAAAAAAATTTTAACTATATCTAAATAAAAAATATTGATAGATAGATAGATAGATAGATAGATAGATAGATAGATAGATATCCTGACGTGCAAGAACAATTTAGATTCAAATGGATTTAGTCTAAAGGACACGCTTTTATTCCAAGAACGAAATCCAAACATATGATGCTGTACATGTCTACATCAATTACACCGATTCCAAATCTATAAGCAAGAAATTCCTCAACATGTCCGGTTATATTAACGGTAAATATTTCTATTTATGAGTACCCGGAAAGAAGATTGCAAGAGATGGTGCCCTACTTCTGATGGTCAAAAGAAGCATTGCGCATGACTGGGCGCCTTTTAGAAAACTTTATACATCATGACAAGTCGAAAGTCAACAATCGAAACCAAGAGAAATCTGTTTATATCATGTTCTGCCGGTGATGACTTATGGAAGTGAGAGACACCACCAAGACAGAGACACTTGCAGGGGCCCAACGAACAACAAAGGCAGAACCAAGGCCGTAGAAAAAAGAACAGCCAGAGGCAACATTGCACGATGATCGGATCTGATACATCGACAGCCAAATGGGCCTCTATGAGCAGTGAGCGGAAATCAAACAAGCAGAGCAACACCTGGATTCTACAGTAGACTGAATTGAAGGACATGATGAAGACCGGCAATTAAGGCAAACTTAGATAGGCTGGCCAGGTCTTTCATTTCAGAGAAAACAGGTGGACTATTAGATCGACAGAGGTTAAAACAAGGCGGTGGAAAATTTATATATTCGATTTATTCACAAGCATAATTTTATCTTTACAACAGTCTAAAACTAATGCAATTTTATTAAAACTAATGCAATGCAAGATTTATCATCAGGCATAGGCAACCTTTTTTGAGCATTGGGCACCATGATCTATGATTCATCACAAGTCGGGCTACACTACAAAAAAAAGATTCAAGGTAATTTTTCATAGTAGGTACCTGTTATGGTAATTTACCTACGCACGCATGGACTCTCCCAGTTATAACAGGAGCAGATACTGCCTTCTGGAGTGGGAAGTTTCCAGCAGTCAGCTCTGACAGTCGGACCGAACATTCTTGCTATAACACTCTCGTTTGTATATGTTTGTATTACTGTTTCTGCTAATATACAATGTAACCCGGATATAAGAGAGTTGTCGGGACCGGCGAAGTCGTCTCTTATATCCGGGTTTCTCTTATATCCGGGTTTGGTCTAATTTATATACATTAACACAGGCTCTAATTTGGGACCAGAGAAAATCTCTGTTATATCCGGGTTTCTCTTATATCCGGGTCTCTTATATCCGGGTTACACTGTATATAATTCCTCTCTTTGTGTCTTTATTTCTGGTCCTAACAAGGCCACAACTGTACCTCAGCTACTTTCACTAAAGAAGACCATATGCCTATAGCTTAGAAATGGGAAAAAGATTTTTTATAATTAAAAAATGAAAGTCTTGGCATAATATTATCAGTGACTAGCAGTAGAGCCCGGCGTTGCCCGGGCATGTAACAGTAAGAGATAGATCAAGTATCGACCATCATAAAGACTGAAAAATAAAATTGACAAAGATTATTGTTTAAGGTTGACGGACACGCATGTCTTAATTAGTTTTTTTTTGTTTTGTTTTGTTTTTTTGGGTTTTTTACGAATTGGTCAAACCCAAACTCAAACAAAAGCATTGTTTTCAATCGTTATGAGTCTACCGATTGAATAGAATTTTATTATAAACAATTGTCTTGTAAATGGAATTTTTAAAGCATTCTGAATGTAAAAATAAAGAAAAACGTGTGCAAGACAATAAGAAACACTACCTGTCAAAAAAAGTGAACTTTTGTTGAAATCGGTTGAAAAATGTAGAAAATCCGATCCAATATAAGCACATACACACACACACACACACATACACACACACACACACACACACAAACAAACAAACAACCTGGGTTTTATAATAAGTATAACTCGATATGAGTTGTCTCACTTTCATTCTCGCGACAGCGATGATTCTTAATCGTGTATTTAAATTGATTTTGTGCAAAAACAATTGTGTTTTTCCTATTTTTGGCGCTGTCAGAACCACCGCAAGATAATTTTACGCAGTCCTGTGAAGTTTTGTTAAAATCAGTTGAAAAATGTAGGAAATTCGATCCAATATATAAACGAACAGACACACACACACATAACCTGGGTTTTATAATAAGTATGATGACAGTGTTATAAAATAACCACAACGGCGATTGTAGTAGTAATTCTGAATTACTTTTATTCCTGTACAAATGAGATACAAATACCAAAATGCACCTGGTTTTTGACCACTCAGCTGTTTATATAAAACCAGCGGAGGTAACTTATGTCCTCTAATGTCTGCCTGTGGAAGTCCCGCAATTATTTGCCCAGCTACCATGTCGCGCGAGTAATTGACTCGCTGACCGCAGCCTTAAGCTCGTAACCTTTCTATAAAGTGAGTAATTGATTCACCTTCGGTGTGGAATGAAAGGTCTGCCGGTGAACTTCCTTGTACAAGCCCTTTACCGCAACGAATCGGATGTGTGATAACGGCCTTTCCACCGTAGCCGAATTTAAGGTTTCAGCCACTATAAGGTTGAAAAGGAGCCTGTCGTTCTCAATTCGTTGCGTATTTTGACTGGGTACGTAAGTTTACACATCTCCTGATGCCGAGTCCCAGTCTCGGTTTGTTTTTTTGTTTTGTTTTTTGCTTTTAGTGTGTGTGTGTGTGTGTGTGTGTGTGTGTGTGTGTGTGTGTATTGAACGTTTGCGTTGCGATAGTTTCAATTTGTAGCTCTATTATTTGTTGCATGAGCTGAGAAATCAAATCGAGGTTTCCGCCTGGTGCAGATGCCATGTCTTATTTTGTTAAGATAGTCCTACGTATTCACCAGATCCTGTTCACAGCGCCATGTAAAATAATCACAACGGCAATGGTAGAAGTAATTCTGAATTACTTTATTCTCGTACCAACGAGATACAAATACCAAAATACACTTGGCTCCTGACCACTCAGTTGTTTATTTAACACCAGCGGAGGTAACTTATATCCTGTGAAAGTCCCTCATTATCTAATGAGACCTTCCATTTCTGTTCTACAAGTGTCATTCTCACATGTCGCTGAGTGGGATTTATTTCTAATTTACTCATTTGAAAATGAAAACATTTCTTCATTTGAGAAAAAATTCTTATGAACGTTTCCTGTTTCAAAAAGATGTCTACACATATGATCTTCCTTAGTGAAAATCGCCAATGGTTTAAAATGCTGACAGCGTTACTTTTCCCGAAATTTTATAAAATTCAAGAAACATTGTACTTAATCATTGTTTATGGGTGTGGTTAGGCTTGAGAGTGTGTGAGTAAACAATTTCGCCCAAGGGAAAATTGCCAATATTTTAAAACGATGAAAACGTTATTTACAACAATAGTCTACAAAATTCAAGAAACATTGTACTTAATCATTATTTATCAATGTGATTGTGTATGAAAGAGTGTGTGAGTGAACAAGTGAAAACGGAACAAAATAAAATTTTAAGAAACGTTATTTTCCTAATGAAATTAAACGTGTCATTCAGAAAAATTAAACGGGCTGAATGTGGCTTACCAAGAAAAAATATGAAAACAATTTTTTATTCATAAATTTCTAAACATTAACTAAATTATTAAAATATGTCAACCAACTATGAAGAAATCCTTATAATTTACCATTTATAAAGTTCGAATCGATTAACAATTAGCTAATTTTTTGTCAGCCATTCCAATAAATAATATAACCTAAGAAATAAATAGTTTGTTATTTTGTTGTCAATTCTCAAAAACAAAGAAAGTGTATACATTCACTTTCATACGTTTAGATAGTTTAGTGCAGGTAGTTAGAATAATAGTGACGTCAAAAGAAAACCATACTTTTCTTACTCCGTTTTTTTGGGGGTAAGGTTTTGGGGGGTTGTTTTTTAGGGGGTTTTTCTTTTAGGGTTTTTTGGGGTTTTTTTTTTTTGCCAGCACGAAGATTAACATTTACCGATTGTTTATTTAAAATAATCGTCACCTCGATTTTAAATAGATTTGATTTCAAGACGGAAATTACTTTCTCCAAGAACGGTGTTCATGATTTGTCAGCATCTGGATAAGAAAAAAAAACACCTTTAAAGAAGATTAATGCGTATTTTGGCTTTTTGAATCTTGCAACCTTTGATGCTGTATCAAAAGACCCCTCATCGATAAATTAGAGGTTTTGAGGAGCGTGGAACTCCATCTTAATTGCTGTTGTTCCCATTTCCACCCTAATCCGCTATGGACAAACAGTGAACCCCCAAACAAAAACAAGACACCATGAATGTATTAAAAATACATTTTATCGTAAAATTACCGACAAAACATTTTTATATTAAATTGACCAACAATACATTTTATAGCAAAATGACTAACAATACATTTTATCTGTAGTTGAAAACATGCAATTGCATTCAAAATATATTTAGTTGAAGCCATAAACGTGTTCCAAATATTTAGATCTCAGCATTATATAACCTATAGAGATTGGTATGCTGGTAAACAAAATCAACCAGCAGGAAAGAACTCTTTCATGACCTTAATCCATATAATATACTACAATTTCTTAAAGAAATCAAGCTGTATATCAAAATATAACTTCAACACAAAACACACCCATTACTGCCTCTAGTAATTATGTCCACACAAACATGTATATGCACAAAAGCTGAGTATCATCTACCGTGTATTCAATTGTGAAAGTAGATGTTATATGCACATTACCAACACTATGAACACTAACGTTGTACACTATTATAAGTAGGGGCTAATATGCTGTCTACGCTGTCAGCGTGGGCTGTCAGCGTGGGCTGTCAGCGTGGGCAGCTCTTGCCTTGTCGAACTCTCTGCCTTTGGGCAGAGAGGAACCCGAACAAAGTTATGCTGTAGGGCAGAGTATCGTCCGGGGAGGTAGACAGATACCCGATCTCGCGCATACGAACGTCTACGGGCAATTTTTGCCTGAGCCCACGGACTCGGATTTCCCCACATGAAATTTGGCCTTGTGCCGCATCCTACCAGGCAAATATCGTAATATCCTGTGTAAGTAATCCACCAATAGCAGTGGTTTACCTACTTCATGCCGCTGGCGAATATTATATTTT